GGCATAGCTTTCAGAATCACAGCCACACACAAGCCACCACAGTACGACAAACTGACAGATGAATCATAATGTAGATTGTTGTTGTTGTTGTTGTTGTTAAGTGCCTTTGAGTAGGCTCCGTCTCATAGTGACTCTTTGTAGGGTTTCTGAGGAGTAGCTGGTGAATTTGAACTGCTGACCTTGCAGTTCAAACTGACCTTGAAGCCGAGCACTTCTCCTATGGTGCCACACCAAAACACCTTTGTTAAGATGACAACCTTGGAAACACTGAAGGACTTCTGGGAGCCAGAATTGACTTGCTGTCCATGGGTTTTTGTTTATTTGCTTAAAAGAAAATGTAAAGGCAACATACCAATCGATTCTAAAGAGGTAAAAAAGAATTATCCAGAATGCTACATCTCTGCCAGGGAGAGGACCAACATTCTTTTGAATATTATTCTCCCTTTGATATGCTTTTGAAAGTGGTGGAAGGAATATTAAAAATGTTCTTGTTGTTGTTGTAAGGTGCCATCGAGTTGGTTCAGACTCAGTGACCCCTACCTACAACAAACACAGACCCAAACACTGTCCGGCGCTGCCCGATCTCACAGTAACGGCTATGTTTGAGCCCACCTGTATGACCACTGTCAGTCCTTCTTCAAGAGGCCGGCTCTATTTTGTTGACCCTCCACTTCTCTAAACATGATGTCCTTCTGCAGGCACTGGTCCCTCCTGATAACACTTCCAAAGTGTATGAGACGAAGTCTCACCTTCCTCTCTTCTAAGGAGAGAGGATGTACTTCTGGCTGTACTTCTTCCAGGACAGATTTATTTGTTCTTCATCAACACCATTCAACTACATCAGTTCTTCAGTCTTCCTTAGTCCTTGTCCAGCTTCCACATTTATGAGGCTATCCAAAATACCATGGCTTGGGTCATGTGCATCTTAGTGTGTCTGTATCTTCACCTATATTTAAAATCAGATTTTTAGTTCAGTCTTCCCATTGGCTGTAAGGTTACCCACATATAACACTCCAGGCAGTTGGTTGTCCAACCCAGGACTGGTGCATCCACGAGTCTAGGTGAAGAATGACATAGTGTGTTGTTTCAGTTGTGCGTCACCATTTCCTAAGGCAGTCATAGCTCTGTCTGTTACTTCTGTTAAGCAGACTCTTGTTGTTGTTGTTGTTAAGTGCCTTTGAGTAGGCTCCAGCTTTTACTCATAGTTCTCACTCTGATAGACACCATCTCGTCATAGTATCATTTCAGACATCAAAACAAAGGCGAAACATTCACAGAGTTCTCAGCCTTTCCTATCTCCTGGTCACCTTTTACTTGACACAAGTTTGTATTAAAACACAGGCTCTAGACCTAGACACATAATTCTCCATGTAGAGCACAGTGAAATGTCTACTTCTAAGAAGCTGAGGCTCTTACTTCTATTAACAGAGCCTATGATGTTTTAGATCTTAACCAGAGTCATCATGCTAGTAAGTAAAAACATGCATGTGGTCAACTGAAACCCCCAGATCCTTTTTCATATCAAGGTTCCTTTGGGGGCAATTTCCTAACCAACAGATTAAACTGTATCCTTGTAACTTCTAGGTGATCATGGTGATTACTTTCGGCTGCTGCTTCCAGGTACCTACACTGTCACTGCTACAGCACCTGGGTTTGACCCAGAGACCGTGAGTGTGACCGTGGGCCCTGCAGAACCTAAAGTGGTGAGTTAGGCTGTGTCAGAGCACCATAAAAGCTACTTCTCCAAAGCCTTATACAACTGATTGCATCATTCTAATCTTTGCCAACCTCCCTCCTTGGACCTTTTTTTTAAAAATTACTCTTTCATCCTAATTTTCCTTTTGCCCCTCTCCTATTATGTCCATCGCCACTTCCTCTTGGCTTTTCTTCTTTCTTCCCTTTAACGTTGTTGGATTCATAGTGACTCTTCATAGGGATTCCAAGGAGTGGCTGGTGAGTTTGAACTGCTGACCCTATGGTTCAAACCAACCTTGCAGTCCAGTGCTTTATCCCACAACACCACACCGGGATTTCTGTTTAACAGCATAGTGATTAAAAGCATCCTCTCTGATTCTGGGTTCCTGATGTTGCACTGTAGGATCAGCACTGGACTGCAAATCACAAGGTTGGCAGTTCAAAACCACCAGCTGCTCTTCAGCAACCCTATGTACATATAGAATCACTGTAAGTTGGAACCAACTCGACAGCACTTAACAACACAACAACAACTCTCTGGTTCTACGGACTTTGGATAAATTCCCTAGTTTCTTTCATCCTTAGTTTCTTCCTCTGTAAATTGGTGACAATAATACCTGCTTTACAGGAGATTTAAACCAAAAAAAACCAAAAAAACCCCCAACAAATCCACTGCCACCAAGTCCATTTCAACTCACAGTAACCCTTTATAGGCTTTCCAAGACTGTAAATCTTCGTGGGAGCAGAAAGCGTCATCATTCTCCCATGGAGCTGCTGGTGGGTTTGAACTGCTGACCTTGTGGTTAGCCTACAGTGCCACCAGGGCTCCTTGACACATGGAAAGTGCTCAATAAATGTTAGCTTGTAAATTCCGAAGACCTTTCCGAGATTCACAGGCGGGATCCCAAAGGTTGTATGCTTTCTGTGCCTCCTGCAAGGAATACCACCAGAGGGCGCTCTCCTACCCTGTCTGGTTCCCCCGAGACCCAGACAGCCTTGCTTTCCACTCACACTGCAACAAAGAACCATCTACTTGCCAATATCCAACTCTCCACGGCTTTTATGGTAGGGTGAGGACCAAAAACTTATTTGATATACAATTTTGGTCATTAGATTAGGATCTCAGAACTAAAGAAGATCTCTTAAATCGTGCACATTCATACCCGTATTTTCTCAAAGGAGGAAAGAGTAAAGAGGCAGTTATATAGTTGATTTCCCAAAGTCAGCTCTATCCTGAAGCCTCCTTCCTCTGTCCTGTTCCTTCTCTGTACAACCCTGTAGCTTTGTAGACCATTCTTTCCCTCTTACTCAGTGCAATCAAGTCAAAAATCGACATAGCTTCTTTTTCAATATTCTATACCTATTCCTGGAGTCCTGGTGTGGCGCTGTGGGTTAATGCGCTGGACAGCAAAGTCGGTTTGAACTGCAAGGTTGGCGGTTCAAACTCATCAGCCACTCCTTGGAAACCCTACACAGGGTCGCTATGGGTCGGAACCGACTTGATGGCACTTAACAACAACAACAACAAATACCTATTTCTGGAGTCTGTTGGTTTGGCACTGTGGGTTAATGTGCCAGACTGCAAAGCTGTTTGAACTGCAAAGCCGTTTGAACTGCAAAGTCGCTGGTTCAAGCTCACCAGTTGCTCCTCGGAAACCCTATACAGGGTCGCTATGGGTCGGAGCCGACTCAACGGCACTTCACAACAAACAACATACCTATTCCTCACTTATATTGACTGACTATCTTGTTATCGGCATTTCACATTATCAATGGTTATCAACCATAGTAAATCGTGTCCTCTCTGGCTCCTCTGTGCTTTGATGATGTAAGTCTGTTAGTAGTGAACTCTGAGGTGTGAAGTACCAGGCAGGTTAAGGCTAGTGGGCCAGGATGCTTGGTGTTTTGGCACTTATGTAATGATGTAATTTAGCAGTAATGGAATGAATGATAAAGTCATTTTCCACTTTATGATCCAATATGGCCATCCTCCATTTTTTTATTATTTTTTTTTGCATAATGCATAATTTTGCATAACAACCTGGTCTTTGGAATTAAGTAAGTGAGGAGTGGGTGTATTTATTGAATTGTTTCTATGTGTCAGATACCATCAGAGACTTTTACAGAATGATCACATGTAACTGTCACAACAACCTTGTGAGGTAGATAATGTTATTGTTGTTTAAATGCCATCGAGTCATTTCCAACTAATAGCAACACTGTATAGGGTTTCTGAGGAGCGACCAGTGAGTTTGAACTGCCAGCCTGTGGTTCCAAGCCCAGTGCTCATCCTACAGTACCATACCAGGAGTCCACAAGGTAGATATAAGTATCCCCATTTGTGACTGAGGAAATGGAAACTGGAAATAAGAAACTTGTTCAGCGTCACCCAGTGAGTGAGCTGGGGGCAGTCTTGATTCAATCCTACTCCAGGCTCTGGGCATTGCCCCCTCTTAACCAATATGCAACCAAGCCTCATGCTGAACTGTCTTCCTAAATCCTTGTTTCAACACAGGGTCAAGGTACGGAGCTATTCTTTATGTCCTTTGAGAACTCCTCTGAAATTCCTCGGTAGTTTCTCCTTTTTCTCTCGTCTACTCCCATTGTCTCCAAATTACAAATTATTTCCACTTGCAGATGCAGGAAACATTTCCATTGCCGCTTGTTGCCTAATTCCAATTTCCTAACCAATGCAACCCTTTCCTCACTTTTCAAATTTTTAACTTCCTTCTCCTCACCTACCCTAAAAATCAAGTAAACATTAGACAACTGCATGCATTATGTGAGACTTGCATTCAAGTCTATTCTGTGTCAAATTTAAACAATTGCAAATCCTCTTGAGTGCTACAATTACTCTGTTTTGAACGATTTCACCTTCTTTTTCACATTTCCTCTAAGTAAATCAAGGAGCTCTGGTAGTGTAGTGGTTACAAATCAGGCTGCTAATCTCACCGTCAGCAGTTTGAAACTACCAGCTGTTCTGTGGGAGAAGGATGAGGCTTTCTGCTTCTGTAAAGATTTACAGCCTCGGAAACCCTGTACAGGGTTGCGATAAGTCGGAACTGACTCCACAGCGGCACTTAACAACAACAACGTAAGTAAATCAGCACAACCCTTCATTACATCAACCATAACCATGAGGGGAAATCTACCAACTCCCAAATACAGTAACAACTAAGATTCTGTTTATATTGATCACAGCACAGTCTCTCCCTCTTCCTTTGCATTCTAAATGATATATCCATCTTGGCTGGGGAAAGATTTAGATTTAAAATACAGATATATTTGCCAGAATTTTTTGTGTTATAAATTAGACTCTTTCAGCTACCTCCCAGTGCCCAGTGTTCCCTCCTTTGCTTCACTCTGTAGCTCTTTTCAGCCTCCTCTGTCCTTTTCCCATGTTGTTTTCTCTTTTTTCTTTCCCATTGTTGTTGTGTGCATTGAGTTGAATTCTCATAGCGACCCTATAGGACAGTGAGAAACTGCCTGTAGGGGTTTCTAGACTGTGTGTCCTGGTCACACAGAGGATACAGCCAGTGCTCAACTGCTAACTGGAAGGTTTTCAGTGTGACCCCACCAGCTACTCCACTGGAGCTTATGTAAAGATTATAGTCTTGGAAACCCCATGGGGCAGTTCCCCTCTGCCCTATCAGACCGCTAGGATTTGGACTCGATGCTATGGCAGTGGGCTTGGTTTGATTTTTTTGGTAATCTTTACGGGAACAGATCACTATTTTTTTCCCTCACAGAGCTATTGGTTGGGTTTGAACTACCAACCTTTCCATTAGTAGTCAGAGTGTTTAACCATCATTGCACTACTAGGGCACCATGTTTTTTCTAGGTCTCTTTATTCTAAGGAAATTGGCTCTGATTTTTTCCCCCTTTTGTGATCCCCTTTTGGGAACTCACAAGAAAACTGGTTGTGGATTTTTGTGGATGAGGCAGTTAATTCCCCTTTGGAGAGTCTGTCCTCGCTGGGGCATGTTTTTTAGCCCCTAGCTGACTTTAGCAACTCAAGCTGTTTCAAGTGACTGTAAGCCAGGCACGCCTCAGGGGAATGTGGTCAGGACTCTGTGCCACTCCCTCTTCGTTCCCCACGCCCAGAATGGCCCCACTTTCGGCAGCTAAAATTGTTTGTACGTCTACGTGTCATCCCAGGAGGGAGGTTTCAGTGTATCATTTGGAAAGATGCATGGACACTTAGAATTTAAGAATTCATCCTAACAATCAATTTTATCTCCACTATTTATATTCCGAAACGAGCTCTGTGTGGTACCATAGTGGTTACGAGTCAGGCTGCTAACCTCAGGGTCAGCAGTTCAAAACTATCAGCAGTTCTGCCGGAGAAAGACGAGACTTTCTGCTCCCATAAAGATTTACAGCCTCAGAAACCCTATAAAGGGTAGCTATGAGTTGGAACTGACTCTACGGCACATAACCACCAACACCATCTACATTCTGAAACAGTTAAGGATTAATGCGGAAAGTCTGAAATATCCACTGGCTTGCCCGAGCACGAACCTATGATTCACAGGCAGCATAAAGTGGATTATAATAGTGCATCAATCATAACTCTGGCTTGAGCAACAATATTGGTGAAATCGTGGTCAGATGTGCTAGATAGAATTGTTCTCTGACACACAGAACATGCATTTCTATTCAGTTCCTACAGAGTAGCTCATGTACTCTACCACCTTGGGGGGAGTTTTAACAATACCTTGGATTGTTGTAATAATTCTCCCCAGCCCTTTGCCCTCAGGACCAGGAAATATGGTATAAAAGGGTCCAAGCTGGGCTCTTTCCAACTTCAATTTCAGGAAGTAGAACAATGACTCTGTTCTCCTAACGTCTTTTTCCCTCTCAGGTTGACTTCCATCTCAAGAGAAGCATCTCTCAGGCAACCCCTACAAGGAGAGTTCCCAGCAAGGGGCCTGGGGGCAGAGTTTTACCCAAGAAAGTGCAGCCCCGGGCCACAAGAAAAAAAGAAGTGGAGAAGAAGCACTCCCAGCAAATCCCTACCTGAAACACATAGTACCTGAATCCCACAGTGCCTGCAACATCCCCACTTGAGACAGGCTTTACTCCTCTCAAAGTCATTGGAGCATTCTTACGATTTTATTACCTGGGACATATTTGACTACCAACATATTCGGAACAATTTAGTGTGGTCTCTGTTTCGGGGGTAAGCCCTTTTATTGGTTGCCGTTAAGTCAATTCCAACTCTGATTTCATGTGTTTCACATTAGAACTGCGCTCTGTAGAGTTCTCACTTCTGTGACCTTTCAGAAGCAGATTGCCTGGTCTTTCTACTGAGGTACCTCTGGTCGTGTTTGAATCACCAACCTTATGGACTAGTAACCCAGCGTTTAATCACTTCCACCTCCCAAGGATTCCTAGATCCTCTGTGTTGTTGTTGTCAGTGTTAAGTGTTGTTGACTCGGTTCCGACTCATAGCAACCCTATATAGGGTTTCTAAGGAGCGGCTGGCAGGTTTGAACCACTAACCTTGTGGCTCAAACTGACCTTGCAGTCCAATGCATTATCTTGCAGCCCACTGTAGGTCAGCATTAAAGGAATCAGAGCTTATTGAAAATGGATGTAGTTGCAAATGAAGTTGACCCATAAACAACATGGGGGTTATGGGTGACAGCCTCCCATACAGTCAGAAATCCAAGTGTAATTCATAGTGGACCCTGAAACATCATGACTTTCAGCTTCACAGGCCCAGTTATATTTGGATTCCTTTTTTTAATTGCAGCTATTTTACACCGTGTGAGTTACTGGAGAGATGAATGTGGAAATCATCACACGACATTTTAAGCAGATACTTGTAACACTTGAGCTCAATTTCAGTTCAAAACTCCTGTTGTTCAAGGGTTAACTGTCCATCCAGTGGTGGTCAGTGAGGTTTTCAGATTCTGGGGTCTGATCTATGTCCAGAGGTTCCATGCCAGGTCACAGAACACCCATAGGTCGATTCTGCTGGTTGACCACTCTGTGTTCAGAGTCCAGCCCGGAGCCTGCAGTTCAGTGAAAAGTCCTGAATGAATGTTAGAAATGCTGAAATGACTCACATTGATGTTGTTTCCATAGCAAGACCAAGTGACCAATTCTTCTGAAATCCCAGAGGATCATTTCATCAATAACACAATAGTTTCTTAATAAGTAAAGCATTTGACAAATACTGCAAGTTGTCTCTCTGCTACTCATCTCCCTCAGTACATGGGTGTTTTCAACAATATGCATCTTGGAAATCATTGTCTAGAGATGTGTAGTTGTTTCCTACGGCTACTGTAACAAAGTATTACAAACTAGGCGGCTTATTAGAACAGACTTTTATTGTCTCATAGTCCTGGAGGCTATAATTCCAAATTCAGTGTGTCAGCAGCTGCTCTCCAAAGACTGTAGGGGAAGAGCTTTTCTTGTCTCTGTAGGCTCCTGGTGGCTTTCAGCAATCTTTAGTGTATAGTCGCTTGCAGCTTTATTTGCCTCTATTGTTACATGTTGTTCTTCCCTCTGTGTGTCGGATCTGTTTCTCTGAGGTTACCACTCAGATTAGATTAGAATGCACCCTAGAAATCCCTGTTAATGAATACATTGTTCAGAAACAAGGCCACATTCACAAGTACCCGTACCTGTTGTCACTGAGTCTATTCTAACTCAGTGACCCCGTGGGACAGTGTAGAACTGCCGCCTAAAGTCTCCAAGGCTGTCATCTTTACAAAAACAGACAGACTCACATTTTCCTCCCGTGGAGTGGCTGCTGGGTTCAAACTATTGTCCTGTAGTTAGTGGTTGAGCATTTAACCATTGTGCCCAGGCTCCTCATTCACAGGCTATTGTTGTTAGGTGCCAGTGAGCCCAAGTCAGTCATAGAAACCCTGTGTACATCAGAAGGAAACACTTCCCGGTCCTGTACCATCCTCGTAATTGTTATGTTGGACCCTGTGCCTCTATTGCCCAGCACTGCCCACCTCACTGAGCCCCCACAGTGAGCTCACTGGTACTAGAAGCAGTACTGAACAAAGTAGACATTACTAAGGATTTTGAAAGGACTTGTAGTTCTTCATCACACACCTGACAATCCACAAGTTCATAACACCCCACTGAGCAGCTTGGGGTTCCCGAATCCTCTGTTCTCAGGACTTGGGGGACTTCGTTACTGTACGCCCCCTTTCAGAGCTCAGCCTCTAGTTTCCCTGTCTCCTCACTCTCCCCCACCGGGCTTCTAATTAGCCCAATCCTTTCTTACCACTTACACGTTGGGTTGCTAACCCTAAAGTCGGTGGTTCAAACCCACCAGCTGATCGGTGAAAGAAAGATGAAGCTGTCTGCTCCTGAAAAGATTTACAGTCTTAGAAACTTTAAGTAGCAGTTCTATTCTGCTTATAGGATCTCTATAAGTCAGAATCAACTCTACCACAACCGGTTTGATTTGGTTTGGGTTTTCTTACCACAGAACAACTCAGGTCTTTAACAAGTCATCCCACATCCATCAAGAAACACTTGGTGCTCTGGCTGTGAGGGTCTACCCTCCTCAGCAGAACATTCCATTTTAAGATTAGCACATACGTTACTTTTCTGTTACTTGAGCTATCGCTCCACCAGTAAGGAGCTCTGGTAGCATAGTGGTTACAAATCAGGCTGCGAACCTCAAGGTCAACAGTTCAAAACTAC